AGATTCAAACCACCAATTCAAGCCAGCCTACAAACATTTACAATAATTGTGTTTTTAATATTAATAAAACCTATAATTACTAAATGTGTTTCGTTATTATTTTGCTATATTAGTCGATATCATTAAAGATTTGGCATTGAAGATAATTCAACATGAAATAAATTCTAAAAAAATCATATAGATATATCCATCATATTTCGTTAAATAGAAAAATACCAGCTTTAGTTAAATAAAGGCGGCAGAACTATATTTTTTAGAACATGGCAATTTCGAAGAAATTCATATGTAGGTATATCTAACATATTTCCTTAAATAAAAAATATTACCAACCTTAGTTACATCAAATGCTAAAACTCAAATGGGTAATATTTCAATATATAGACATTGTAGTTCATTCACATTATGATTGTAGATGTTTAGCTTTTCAACTGTCAAAAAATTTCCACTAAAGTTTCGTGGCGCCTCGAAAAAATTTCCGGAAATTTTTTCAGTTGCCATGGTAACTAGTCAACATTAAAGCATGTTATTGGTTGAAAAGTAGAGGTGTGAAGTATATATATATATATATATATATATATATATATATATATATATATATATATATATATATATATATATATATATACATATATATATATTAAAACAAGAATTAAGTTAGTATAGTACAGGGTGGCGCCTCTCATACGACGCGGAGGCTCCAAGGAGAACGACAGTTTGTATTGAAATGAAATTTTGTGAGCAAATGTAGGTTAATTCAGAGCACTTTTTAAAAATATAGAGAGTTCTACAGGGTGTCTGCAAAAAAAGTTACATATCAAAGTTGTGTTTTTTGTAATGGAACACCCTATATATTAATTGATTTTCGGATTCTAGGAGAAAATTAAAGGTGAGTTTTATAAGAGGAGTATATTACTAAAATGTAAGGTTTTTGACATATTTAACATTTTCTAGAAATCAAGAAATCAAAAAAAGAATTTTTAAATTACAATAAAAGCTACCTAAATTGGAATTTACCCGGTATAACCTAATATAAAGTTAAAATAACTATTGTACTTTAAATCAAATTATAACTTGATCAAAAAGTTATACAGGGTGAGACAAAATTAATATTGAACATTGGTCACCTTCAAAAGTATTTTACTCTTTTATTTTAATTCGAACGCCCAGTATATTATTCCGATATTCAATGGAGAATGTATGTCTCTTCAAAATACTATTAAGGTAAAAACAAATATTTTTCTAGATATTTTCATTTACATGATTTGATCTGAGTAGATCTTTATTATTTGGTAAAATTTAGGTCACTGTGATATGTCTGACGTTACTTCAACATAGCTGTCAACTAGTCCAACTTTAACAACTAGTTATAATTTTGTGTCAGTTAAAACAAAAAAAAATTCTCAGAAATTTGTCGAAAATGCAAACTTATCCTACATCAGAAAGAATTGACATGATTCTATTAGTTGGTGAATGTAGTGTGCAATTAATTAAAATTTTCATCAATTAATAGAATACTTAGATGCTCCCGATTTTATCTAGCCTGGGTTTTTTATGGGGATATGTTAAAGACAGCGTTTATAAAACTCGACCAATTATTGTCGACAACATGAGAGAAATGAAATAGCTGCTTTTCGAGGTAGAACTCCACATATGCCTTTTAAAATGAAAATATCCTTTTGAAAAGACAAGCATCTTATGCAGTTAACAGGAAAGGAAGCATTTTAAGCATTTGATTTCATCTAGCTAATTTTTGTCACATAATTATAGGTTTATATCTAGTTTAATTCTGTAATAATTAAAATATGTTTTAAACGTGTATCTTTTTATTACTGCTGAGTATTTTACTCTACAATCTTTAATTTTTCTTAAATTAACAAAAGGTATTATCACAGCCACCCTAGATTTTTCAAATAATAAAGATCCACTGATGCAAAATCATAAAAATTAAAATATCTAGGAAAATTTTCGTCTGAGGGGTAGGCAACTTTAGTAATATTTTGAAGATATATAAATTCACCGGAATAATTTAGTGGATGTTCCATTTTATTAAATTAAGGAGTAACTTTGTCTCACCCTATATAATTTTTCGGGTCAAATTTTAATTTGGTTTAACGTACTCTTCTCCAGAGGCATACCTTGTAGCCTGATTCTCAGAAAATTACCATCCTGAACATTTGATGTCTGAATCGTGGAATTGGTCTAAAAGCTTTTGTACCGGAATCTTGTAAAATTTGCCCATTGTACGATATGTCATTCTCGAGAGATCCATCGCTTTTATGCAATTAATTTTGCTTTCGGCCCATCGGCAAGTCCATTAAACGCAGCTATGCGGTGAAATTAATCTTCCATCGGAGAGTTTCCCGTTTACTTTCATTAATGTGCAGTACAAAGGCAATCAATTTCGTATCTGCAGGGCGAACTTTTTCCAAATAAATATCCCGGTAATAAAAGCATATCGTAAAACGTATGGCTGAGGATAATAAAACGTACAAAGTAATATAAACATTTTACGACTTTACGTACTATACTAAATATAATGTATTATTTTTCTGTTTAATTTTAAAATACTGCAAATGCCGGGTGCGTCTCAAAAACGGCTCAACCCTATAACTTTCTTATTTTTTCAGATAAAAAAACGAGATTTGGTATGTTAGTATATGACTGACGTATTCAATTGTTTTTGGTCACTTCCTGTTTCACCGGAAATGACTACGACTTTTGATTTTTAAATGGTATCTTCCGTATTTATTTAATTTATCGATGAAAAATGAATAACACACTGTGAATAGAATGACATATCATATGTCAACATTTGACATTTTCGCATATGGTTTATTTGAAATTGTAACATGCGGTTCATAACGACAACTTGACTCAAAATACCAAATATGTGGTACCAAATTATTCGTAAAAAAATGCTTTTCCAAATATGATAATGAGCCACCCTTGTTCCATTTGAAAAAAATGAAATATGATTTAAAATACGATTCTGGGTGAAAAATAAAGGTGAGTTTTATAAGAGAAGTATATAACTAAAATGTAAGGTTTTTGACATATTTGACATTTGAATGCAGTGTGCATTCGCCAATTAATGAATACTTAAATGCTCCTGATTTTATCTAGTCTGTTTTTTATGGGGATATGTTAAAGACAGTGTTTACAAAACTTGATCAACTATTGTCGACAACATGAGAGAAATTATTGTAGCTGCTTTTCGAGGTAGAACTCCACATAATATGCCTTTTTAAATAAAATGATCCTTTTGAAAAGACAATCATTTTATGCAGTTAACACGAAACGAAGCATTTTGAGCATTTGATTTCATCCAGCTAATTTAAAAAATAATTATGTGACAATAATAATTATAGGTTTATATCTAGTTTTAATTCTGTAATAATTAAAATGTTTTAAACGTGTATCTTTTTATTACCGTTGGTTTTGGTATTTGGTTAAAAGGTATATCACAGCCACCCCCCTAGATTTTTTCAAATAATAAAGATCTACTGACGCAAAATCATAAAAATTAAAATATCTAGGAAAATCTTTGTCTGAGGGGTAGGCAACCTTAATAATACTTTGAAGATATATAAATTCCCCATTGAATACCGGAATAATATACTGGATGTTCCATTTAAAATAAAGGAGTAATTTCCTTTAAAAAGCGACTAATATTCCATATTAATGTTGTCTCACCCTGTGTAACTTTCGGGTCAAATTTTAATTTGGTTTAACATACAATGGTTACTTTAATTAAATATGGGGCTATACAAGGTCAACTAAAATTTAGGTAGCTGTTATCAAAATTTAAAATTTACTCTTCATTCTCACAAAATGTGAAATATGTCAAAATCCTTAGATTTAAAGTATATGTTCTTTAATAAAACTCACCTTTATTTTTTCCTAGAATCCGAAAATCAATTAATATATAGGGTGTTCCATTAGAAAAAAAACACAACCTTGACGTGTAACATGTATACCGGGTGTTGCATCGTCGAGCGGGACATAGGAAATCCCATGTAAATTTTAATGGGGTCAATTATTGGCTTCCCTAATTATTTTAGAGAATAATTCTATTTAGGTTTATTGAAGAGCACTAAACCCACATTAAAAAGAATAACTTTAGATATTTTTGATTAGCCCGTTTACGAGTTATCGCCGATTTCTTTTTAAATATTTCTTCTTTCTTATGGCCCTGTATTTACTTATGAGCCCCAGTCAAGGTAAAAGATAACTGTCAAGTGAAGTTGTCATTTCAGATATTTATCAATTTAGTGCTTTATTATTATTATTAAAAACTCATACCTACATCGAAAATATTAGCCATGAATTACACTACCGAAGAAAAAGTATTGATGATTAAATGGTATTATCAAGGAAATAGTTATCAAAAGGTCTCGGACATGTTTGCTGCTTTGTATCCGAATAGACCGATACCTGGAAAATCTACAATCGCAAGGAATATCCAGAGATTTGAGAACAATGGTACCCTAATAAATAATTGCAGATGTGAAGCAAGGCAGGAACAAAGAGAAGATGCAAGAAATGATACCGACTTGGAAGTTTTATTGTGCGTGGAAGAGAACGATGGGAAAGATCAGCACAAGGAAACTTGAGGATGAAATAGGAATAGATCACACTATAGCGTTTCGAATTTTAAAACGACATAAATACTATTCCTTTAAATATGAAAAGCACCAAGAGCTACGAGATGGGGACGAAATACTAAAATAATTAGGGAAGCCAATAATTGACCCCATTAAAATTTACATGGGATTTCCTATGTCCCGTCCGACGATGCAACACCCGGTATAATGCCTTCAGTTAACCTACATATATGCTGCCAAAATTTCATTTCGATATAAACTACCGTTCTGTTTGGAGCTTCCGCGGCGTATGAGAGGCGCCACCCTGTATAATAAAGCATTGTGTCAAGTTTTCTTCTCTAGCTTGTTTTATTTTAATTAACTATCAATAAAAAATTTTAACTCTCATTTTCTCGATAATATCTTCTAGGACTTGATCCAGTTCACTTCTGAAACCTTCTTATAAACTGTTTTTCTATTGCAAAACATGTTTTTTAAAGCATATCTTTAGTCCATTAGAAACCCGAATAATCAAGTCCTTCATTACATCGCTGACGTTTCCTCTGCTTCGTCGAACTTCCTATTAATATGCAGCCCAAGACCAATCAATTTTAAGGGCTCCAGTTAAAATTGGGCGCATTTCCGATGGGCATCTTCCGAAGCGCTGCCTCTGCCTCGCCGACAATTGAGCTGCGTGAGCCAGACTTTTATTGGCTTTTTCGTCCTGCCAGCGCCAGTTTGGGTGTTCCTGTCGGCTTGCGCGCACATCTCTCGCGATCCTTTCATCCGATTTTCTTGTAAATAAACACGGAAAAACTCGTGGACTTGGTAAAAAATGCTTATAAAATAGACAGTTTTATTAGTTCCCATAAAAAACTATCGTAGATTCGATGTTAAATTACTTAAAACCGCGTAAACCTTAAATTAAATGTTCCTGCTTCGGATGTAATCAAAATAATAAGCAAAATACGTGTCTTAAATGTTAAATGTAACTGTGTCGTAAATGTTTAGATAGATATATATTTTAGAAAATATTTTATATGTATGTCGTTGTTCCTTCCAATAAATGTTTCTATAATATAAGACTGTAAGATATATTTAAAAAAAACATATATTTTTGCTAATAGTCTACTGAGAGTATAATGCCAGAAATAAATAGTAAGTTCGAACTGAAATTTTTTAAACGGAAGTCTACCTCTGAGAAGAAAGTGAAGTCTCCGGATGGTGGTCAGAAGAATCTTAAAAGTCCGGTTAACAGAGTTAAAATAAATGCTCCATACGCATATGTTGAGGTGAGTGTAAAGATATATTTATTATGAACTACTAAATCGTTTTACTACTTGTAATTAGAAGATTATTTTAATTCAGAAACATTAGTAATGCAACAGAAAATCAACTATAATATACAACCAAAACACTTTTCGACAGCCTGGACGCATACCATGTCAGAACTACCAGCAAATTATTAAATCCTGAATTTTAGTCATTTACTAATATATGTTAAATGGATAGGGTTTTAAAAGTTTTGGACTATATTGCGGTCGGGTTTGGGTAATTTTCTACTTATAGATAAAAATATAATTAAAAAAAATGTTTCTCTCCGCTGCACAGTGCTTCGTCCCATGGACAAAAATCGAAAATAAAAGTTAAAATTTACTAATATCTGAATATGTAATTTTATACTTATAGAAATGTTCACCATCCTGTATATTATTTTTCATAAACAGCGTTTTTTGTTAGCAAATATTTTCACTAAAAATAAATTTTGCGATCATTATCTTATCAGTGAAAAGAATAACATTCATAGTAGTTCTGTATATTATGGAGTTAAGCGGTACGTACTTAATTGAAAGCCACTATGGATATTGTTAAACAAGGAATGTACTTTAAATTTATTTCTAAACAAGTTCGTGATTGTTTAGTTTTTATTTATTTTTTAAGATGATTCTTAAATGGGTATAAAAATTTTACGTTTTCAAACTTCAAAAAGGCATTGAAAAAAAAACATATCAAAACATATCGTATTTATTGAATATTTTTGTTGCCATATTCATACAGTTTCAATTTTTGTATAGTTCACCTGCGTCTGCTTGCGACGAAGTTTATTTTATAATACTTTTCAGATGGAGTAAAATTGATAAGCAATGCCGATCTGGTTAATACTTGGCTTGATCATAGGAACAAGAACTCAAAATTATTTGTATTTCAAAAAATGTGTTCTTTATTAGATATTGATGAACCTTCCAGTCAAATGAGACATCACTTGTGCCTGAAAAAGCCCACTATGTTGGAGCGAAACGTCGCATAAAAAAAGTTTCCATCTTTAATTTATTATAAAACCTCATACCCAAGAAAAGGAAAAAATATTATATGGATATGGTCTATTAAAGAGGTAACTATTAACATCCGAACCCCTCATACCAACAAAAAGAACAGTAACAACGCGAAAAAGTAACATATTAGAAAATGATGTACAGAAATATCTTACATGTGAGGATACTTCATCTACCTGTGATTTGGATACTATAAATTTGCAAGATTCTGTCAGCAGTGATTCTTCTGAATCATCAGAGTAGTTACGATTTATGCATTTTGGTGTCCTAAAGTAAATTTATAGTATCTTAAGTTTTTTTTTAATTAAATATAACATTAATGTTTCTTTTTCATTATTTCATTGTTTGTTTTTCAAAGAAAAACATTTTTATCTTATTATATTGTAGGAATCATGTTCTTATTTCAATTCTTTTTTATCACAGGGATTTATTTAATACTTACACCATTTTCATACTATAAATTATTATTTCCTTAGATGGAACACAGCTCCAACATTTTTATTATTTATAAGACTTTTTTTCATAAACGTGGGACTAAGAACATCATCATTTAGTACAATGAGAGTACTCATCATTTGTGTCAAATAAACCTAGTTTGAATAAATTGCCTACAATAAAAGAGAAGTTTTGCATTTTTGTCCTCTAGAGCTATATGTTCGAAGCACTGTGCGCTGGTGCGCACATCTCTCGCGATCCTTTCATCCGATCTTCTTGTAAATAAAAACGAAAAACTCGTGGACCTGCATCTATTCATCGGTAAAAATGCTTTTAAAATTGACAGTTTTATTAGTTACCCATAAAAACTACTGTAGATTCGATGTTAAATTACTTAAAACCGAGTAAACCTTAAATTAAATATTCCTGCTTCGAATGTAATCAAAATAACCAACAAAATACGTCTTAAAAGTTAAATGTAACTGTGTCGTAAACGTTTAGATAGATATATTTTAGAAAATATTTTATATATGTATGTCGTTGTTCCTTCCAATAAATGTTTCTATAATATAAGACTGTAAGATATATTTAAAAAACATATGTTTTTGCTAATAGTCTACTGAGAGTATAATGCCAGAAATAAATAGTAAGTTTGAACTGAATTTTTTTTAACGGAAGTCTACAAACAGTTTTATCAGTTATATTATCCCCTTTAAGTTTTCGTCCACCCGGTTTCCTCTTACCGTCTACAAGCTCACCGTAAAGCAGATATTTTGGTAGGCGGTTTTCTTCAATTCTGGTTACATGACCAGCCCATCTTAAGCCGAATTTTGTAATCATGACTTGAACGCTCTGGCAGTTAGCTTTTTCAAGGACCGATACATTTGAGACATGGTGGAACCGTTTGATTCTAAAGAGTTGTCTAAAGTGTCTCTGTTGCAAGTTGTTTAATGCATTCATGTGTCGGCGGTACGGCACCCAGGTTTCGCTTCCATATAACATGGTGGTGATTATTATTGCTCGGTACACTGCAAGTTTCGTTTTTGTGCTCAAGTCATGGTTGTAGAAAACCCTGTCTTTAAATTTCCGGAATGCTCTTGAGGCGCTGCTAATCTTATGCTGAATTCGGAGTCGATATTGGCCTTTTCCGAAATCACACTGCCGAGGTAATTGAATTCTGCCACATATTCTAATAGTTCTTCTCCGATTTTTATAGCATTGTTGTGGGAAGTGCACATGATTTTAATATCGATGTTCAAGAAGTTACAGTCACATGCCCAAGACCAATTAAACACTTGCTCGTTTTGGCTCAATTTTTAGCTCATAAATACAGACAGATTTATTGGCTTTTGCTAAGGTTACTCTTTGAATCTGTAAATGTACTATCATTATTATCATTATAACTAGGTGATTTTTAGTTATTTTTTATACAAGACGATAAAATGGTATTTTATGAAACGACAATGCTAATTTTATCGTCGTGTATAAAACAATATTTTTTTCCATAGCGAGTTACGTTTTAAAAAATATTCAGAAATTATTATTTCAAGGAATTTATTACGAGTAGAAAAAATATTGTGCTGGGTTGGCGTTGGTTTCTATCTAATTTGACAAATAAATAAACTTGTCTCTTTAGTTGTCAGTTTTGAGTCAATATTTTTTAATTCTCTTTCATGTCGATTGCTGATGGAATTGGAGCCAGATATGGTTCAAAACGAAATAAATAAATTATCAACAGATATTCAGGCTGAGGCGACAAACGCCATGTCCAAACTACTTTCATTTAAATCCCGAATAACTTATGAAAAGGAATACAAAAATTTTCAAAAATGGAAGCAATTAAAAAACGTGTGAGAAGAAATAAAGATTTAACCTATCCTCGCTGTTAAAGTTTTATTTAATCTACCCTTGTGGTTAAAGTACTATTTTATCTACTATTTTTGATAGATATAAGGCAATTTTAACAGTTGCCATGGAAAAAAACAGGGTTGGAAAAAATCATGATTCTTTTAAAAAAATCAAAAAAATCAGATTTTTTTTATTTAAATCGGATTTTTTTGACTTTAATTCAAAACAATATTTAAATCGTATTTACAAATGACTAGGACTTATTTCCAATTAAAGTCCTATCCTAAATGGCTAAATCTTAATAACTCTGAGCGATACCGATAACATTAAGAAATTCTACGGGGCGTGTCATTTTTCCACATCGGTCACCAATATATTCCGCAAAAAAGTCGCTCGCTCCAGATCAAAAGGATTTTTTTCATACGTCTCAAAAGTATTAATTTTTGTCATTTTAACGGCTATAGGCATAAAGCACTGTTACGCCTAAGCACAAAAGTACTAAAATATATTATTAAACTGATATTAGGTGTCAAATTCAACGAGTGTACAAATCGTTTCTCGATTACTGTTTGTATTATTTGCAATGTTTGAAATTGATTAAAAATTTATTTGTAATTTTTTTAAAAAATAGTGTTTTATTTGGAGTAAAAATGTGTTTTTTGTGCCTCCTTGTAACGTCGGAAAAGCTTACGATGGTATAGCTTTACGATGGTCCTTCAAATGTACAGCATCGTCAAAAAAAGTATAATTTCTACTCTTAATAAAACAATACACTATTGTTCGGAAATAGTCTTAAGTCGAGAATGAAATTAGTATGTATTTCCTAATGTCAAAGTGTAAAGTACTTACTGCAAATCAAAATGTCGGTAAGAATTTGAAAACATACCAACGTTTCAAAAAAAAATAAATAAAACAACATATTTTCTGACAACGATTATAGATTTTCGGGAACGAAGATATAGTCTCAATATCAGAAGAACCTAGTTCTGCACTAGTTGCCAAATGATATGTATTCGAAAAGCGAATTTTTGTCACTTATAAATAAATTTTAAAATAAATTCCTGCGTATAGCGGTCTTATGGATTCACACGAAATTACTTCAAAAATCGGTTCAACATTTAAATTGATGAATAGATATTGTTATACAGGGTCCGGCAATAGTGCGTCGGGCATCTGTAGCTCCTAGAATAAACAACTTGAGAATTTTGTTTTAAGTGCATACCTGAAGTATGTACCAGGATGTATGTCAGGAAAATATTTTAACTTCTATAGAGTGGCTCAAAAAAGTGTGAGTGGACCTGGATGATTTTTTTTAAATGGAACACCCTGTATATATATAACCAAAAACTGTTCTGAAAACAAAACTATATGAGGTATTTACTTTAGATGGTCTGTACTTACTTTGCTATAAATAAGAAAATCGTAAATTATACAGGATGTTCAAAATTCTAAGCCAAACTTTCTAAAATATAAAATAATTTTTCTTCGTTTTTTTAAATGGAACACCATGTATATTATTTTTTCAATAGACGGAGAATTAAAAAATGAACATTTTTTATATTTAGAGTATTTCAAAATGTTTAACGGTTTCGCAGATATTTGCGGTTTTATATTTCATATGGCATTTTCCACAGTAAATTTTTATCAAAGCCACCCAGTAATTTTTCTCTCGTATT